AACTGATTATCCAGGATGTTCACTATTTGTAGAGAATGTCTTGGAATCAAGCATTCAGAAGCAGAGTGCAAAAGACTCAGGAATTATTTCAGCCCATTTCTTGTTGTTTTGTTTTCTTTCTTATTTAAAATAAGTTTTGTTGGTCCATACTACAGATCACCTTTAAAAACACTTATCAAGGTAACATTCAGCTTAGTGCAAATGCAAAAATCTTCTAGGATCTGTAATCTTTTCGCACAGTGTGAGCCATCCAGTTCACTTTAGTAGTCCAACTTTCCCGGAGTGCTTCATCAAACTTTTGCTTAAATTGCTTTAGTGCTTCTTCCTCACTCTTCCCTAAGGCAAGAGAGTCCTAAGATGACAGGGAAACAAGTACTGTTAGGAATTTTAAAACCGCAGTTAGGGCCCCCTTCACCTTTCAATACAAACAACATTCTGTTTTTTTCTGTTTTGACACTTTTTCACCTATTGTTCAATGAACAATATATCAGTGGTATTTTCTGGGTTTAAAGGTAAAATTAAAGACGAATTAAGCAAATTATTTCACCTTTACAGGTTTATGCTTGTGCATGAGCCAAGACGTAAAACACCCCCGAAATGACTACATTTAAGATGCAAGTATGCTGAACTCATTACAGAATGGTTGAGAGGAACGTATGTTCATAGTTTCCTTTGACCGCTAGGGCTGACTACAGATCTTGCTCTACAGAGCTGAAAAAGAAAGCTTTGAGAACTATGTGGAAATCTTGAGAAATGGAAAACAATTAAAAGCTATTCATCTTAGAATCAAAATTCACATATTAGAAAAATGCAAAGGCCTGCTGAGCTGTAAATCTTACTTTACCTTGAGATACTGGATGTCCTTGACAGAGGTTAGCTCTGGAAGCCCTGCAGTTAACATCAGTGCAAAGAGTGTAATAAATAGGTTTCCATGCTTTCGCAGAATCAAGTATGCTTCTTCACAATACTGGCGAAACCTTCACATTTAACCACAAAGCACATGCAATGAAGACAACACATGAGAACTTACACAGTTGACAAATATACATAACTATTTCCAGAAATTGTGTTATCTGGTCTAACACATATATTGTAGGAACATGGTACAGAAAGTACAACAGATATGTCCACAGAACCTCCAACACGTTCCCACAAATATATCCCATGCCTCTTCAACAAACCCTTAAAAACATTGGCACAAAAGACCAAAAGCTTTAAAAAAAAAAAAACCAACAAAAAACCACAACACTGTTTTTCTGAAAGAGTAAAAAATGCCAAAGGTAATGCCAGTGTCCCATCTCCCTGAGAATTTGTCAGGTGAAACGCCCTGATGATCCTACACAGTGGACCTACAGTGGAAGAACAAAAGCTCTGCAGCAGTCCTTACCCATCCAGCCTGTCGCTGTAAGGTAATTCCTTCCTGCAAACATGGTCAAAATTGAACCGACTGCCAGATCTGGTGTAAAGACCCATCATGCAGGCACTTGAGAACTTGCTCAATGTCCCCAAATGTGCCACTGCTCAGTGTCTGATATGTAAATTTCCACAGGAAATGGGAAAACCTCTTCAGACTGAGATGACAAGTTATACTTCAAATAATAAATTCTCTTCTGAGGCATTTTTCCAGCAAAAGTGGAAACTAGTGTCATTTAAAGTACTCCATGTCCCGCAGCTCTTGCAATAGCACAGTCACCTAACAGCCTTTACTTCGTGGTGTTAAAAATGGAGCTACAGGTTGATTTCCTTACTCTCCAGGAGAGGCATGGGTCCCTGGCAGTTGTTTCCCATTCTTCCTAGACACACCATTACAAATATAAGTACAGCTTTTTCTACCAGAAGTAGCCATAAGATTGATCAAGCCATACCTAAGTACATAATTTCCTATCTCTGTTAATAAATTCTTCCTGTGAAAACTGACAGCAAAGCGAGAGCAAAACATTCAGAATGCCCCTCCTGTCAACTGGTGAGAATGACAGAGAAGGAAAAAAGAAAAATCCACCTCAACAGGCAGGACCACAGAAGGTAGTTTTCCCTTGTCATCTGCTTTCATGCTCTACTGTAGCTCTCTCACCCAAAATGGGAAGGGGCATCCAAAGTGTTGGATGATGAGCACATGGCTCTATATGCCTAAGCATCTAAGGCCAGGATTTATTAGCACACTGCATGCACATTGATGGACAGAAGGGGCAGAAGGGAGCCTGTTTCTAAGTCCAGTGCTTCACCTTGCTTCAACAATAGTCTGTGGAATCCCTCCCTAGTGCCCAGTGAAGGGAACAAAAGATGAGCCCAGAAGAACCTCCCATCTCCTGCTGGAGGAGATAAAAGAAACTGTATCTCTCCACTGCAGAGCTGCAGTTTCTGATGTATGAAGTAATTTGTATACATATTCTAGCTCAGGTAGAGAAGCAGAGAGTATTGTAAATGCATGTTAGCACACTTCCACACAAGTACAAATGAGGAAACCAAACCCAGATAGGTTTCTGGTGTGCTAGAAATTATCACCAGAGATCATCTCAGTTACAAAAGAAAGAGATCAAAATACTACTCACCGACCAAATTTTTCAGTGTTCCCTGTTTTTCCTTGTTGAATAACATGAATGAAATCATAGGTGAGTATGAAAGGTACCCGTTCCCTTTTAATTCCAAACTTGGACTTGAAGTTTCCAAGAATATGCCCAAAATCTATATGAAAGAGCTAAAAAAAACAGAAGTGAAAATTAATTGCTCCAGTGAAATATTTCACTTTTCTAATATTTCTACAGGATGCTGGTATCAAGAACAGCTAATTCATAATGCTACTCTCCACAGATCGTGGTTTCAACCCTTTGGGAGTATTTAGTTTTAAAATGTTATAAGATTTGTTTAAAGTCAGTGATGTGATAACATCCACACTCTTATGTGCGACCACTGCTACAAAGCAGTGTGCAAAAGATTATCTCGGGTTTAAGCTTCAGATGTCTGCCAACACACATCTTGTTGGTAATATCACACAGAAAAATGAGCCCAGTGATGAGCCCAGGAGGCTCAACATCACCGTATCCAAGGGCTTCCTACATAAGTCAGGAGCAAAGCTAGTAGAACTTAGGTTAATCTCAAGGAATCTGTGACAGTTCTCCCATTTTAGAATGAAAGATAAGGGTATTTCAGCTTTCTTCTAGTACATAAAAAAACCTTAAAAGAATACCGCATATATCTATAAAACTTACTGTTATAACCCTTGCCAGTTTTATAGGCAGAATAATTTAAATAAAATCAGACAAATTACAGTAGAAAGTAAGAAACAGGAAAATATATTTCTAAGAGTTTACATAGGTTCTAGGTTTTGAGACTTATAGTCACAGCATTGTGCTGGTACTGAGTTCCATACTGAAAATTTCTGCAGAGGTGGGCTGTAGAGACTAACTTCAGGAAAACTACACTGCTCAAAACTGCAATTCATGTATTTTTAAGGATGGTCTTTTGCAAGATACACCAATACTACTTTTATTCAATGAATCTGAACTATTAACAGGCCTTTTGGACCTTCTGAAAAAGTTCTATAGAACAGCCTCACTTGATACAGAATTGCTTACTCAACAGGCAGTGGTTGGTCCTTCCACTAGTCTTTCGTTTCCTTTCTTCAAAGCTCTCTTTAATTCTCAGTAAACAAAGACATCAGTTCTAACAACATGTGGATTTAATTTTACTGAGACGCTAAAGAAATTAAAAGTTCTCAAGATAATTCTTGCACAACAGAGATACTGCAGTTATTCTGCCTACCAAAGAGATTTTTACCTGACCATTTTTTCTGACCATGATATTATCGCTGTGTCTGTCACCGATTCCCAATACGTAAGTAGCTACACAGTAGCCAGCACAAGACAGAGTAAATTCTTCAATGGCTCGGTCCAAGTCATCTCTATAGCCACAAAGACAAACAGTATTAGTGCATACTACTGGTAACTCATGTCATGCCCTAATCTCAAACAGGATTTTTGCTTGTTTAAACCAGAAGCCCATTAGCATGCTGTAAATCTAGACTTATTTGAGAGAAAATACTGTAAGAGGTAGCTATGGAGAATAGAAGAAATGCAAATATTATGAAATGCAACAACATCAAGACTTAGGACCCCCATATTTTTCTTGGGTTTGTTTGTTTTGCCAAAACTAGCATAATTTAATCTATAACATGCAGTCAAAATGCAGCAAATGCCAAAATTTCATCTGGATCGTTGCTTGAATTCCAAGGGCACCATGAATGAGAGTCAGAATTGGACATACTAGAAAAATGAGTAGTAACAAACCTGCCAGAAGAGCCACACATTCCTCTATATTGAAACAAAAACTTACAGGAATTTTGTAGCTTAGGCTATAGATGAGAAAAATAACTGTAGAAATTACCCTAAATTGTATTCTTTCAGCCAGTTTAAGAGAGCATCTTTGTTGAAGGCAGCAGCAGCAGCGACATTGCTACTATTTAACTGAATGTCAGCAATGGTTTCTGAACTAGAAACAGCCTCAATAAGACCAGAGTGATCTCCAGTTGCTAAACAGCCATACGGCAATATCCTGAAACAAAACAGACTGGTGTTAAAAACAAAAATAGTAAGAAAGTTTCTTTAGTCTATCAATATTCTGGATACTCATGCTAACTTCAACATTAAACTCTCAAAAGTTAACATACAGATATTGCTTGCAAAGTGAAAATACCAGCAATACATTTAAAACATTCGTTTTTCCTATTACATACAGATATGTAAAAAAAGAAATTATAAGGAACTCTAATTTTTCCCTTTTACTAGGGAACACAATTACTTGTAATTTTATAGGAGAAACCATAGAGGGAGCCCTTTAGTTTCATTTGTTAATTTACTGGCTAAACAGACAGTAAGTTACACTCCTGTTCATTCTAGACTAAATTATTTGTGTAAATGGAAAAGATTGTCTTATCCTTTTCCCCCACTCTTCCTATTTCAATTTAAAATGCTAGAAATCCTTTTAAATATAAACATAAAATAATATTTTCCAACTCATACTAATTTTAAGCACAGATACATAATGAAAAACAGGAATACATCTTTTAACCCACCTGATAAGCAAGAATATTCCCGTGCATTCATATACTATGCCTAGTAAAAATATCTATAGCAATTATCATTGCATTAAAATAGACACAGATGAAGATATGAATCAAGGAGAGATCCATCTAAATAGATAAGTGTATTTTTCCAAAACGTTTCTTCACTCCAGATGCTTAAAATGCTAAACGGAATAGCAACTTAGATGGGAGCTTAATGTAGGCAATGGAAACTTAAAGCAAACTCTGTGAAGGTGTTGTGTCCCAAATCAAGATGTCTACTCTCGTGCTAGGCATTGTGGGTCAAGAATATTCTCTCAATTCTGGTCATGGATCCATGTATAAAAGAATGAATGCCCATGCAAATCTAACTGCAGTACACAAGCTATAGGCTAGCACTCACTTACTTACAAAGCTGTATAAAAAAAGTGCAGGACATATTAAAATTTGTGTGTTTGTGTGCGTATGTGTGTATATACAGAAAGAAAAAGAACTGTTTATGGAGTTGTCATCGGTATTTTTATATAAAACAGATATTAAGTTTGATTGCTACAAAGCGGAACCACATCTCTTAACTGACACAGCCTATTATCCCAAGCAGTAGAAGAAAAATACATAAGATTTCAGATGAAATTAATTGGAACTTTTTGGCATAACAGCTATTAGATAACTGAACAGTTTCTCTACCTCAGTGATAACACATAACTGAAGCAGCGCAAGTGCTAATAACTATATACTTGGGAATTCTTCTTTACTGGCAACAACTGAAAATCAGATTCAACGGGGTATTTAGAGAACACCCAAGTTCAAATCAAAAAAAGAAGTGCAGATTTGGAACCTTCTTCCTGATTCTATTCTATTTCCCAATTAAAAACCCCAACTCTAGCCCAGAGGGTTCTCACAACGAACAGAAGGTATCTGTAACTACTGAACACCAGCATTCAAGATACAAGGAAGCACTGCCCATCCTTATCACGACAGGACAAATGTAAGCCAAATATTGCCAGGTTAAAGTGCACGCTGGCCTTCTTCCATGGCATTTCAACCCACCCTACTTGCAGCTTAACTGGGCACAGGTCCAACAACTTCCCCTTCAAAAGCAAGCAGTGATGAAAGCCTTCAGCCCCTTGAGGACTGTGTGCTTACAACTGGAGGAAAAAACATTCTTGTCAGAGAGACAGTTTGACAGGAGTCAAGTTGGGGACAAATCCTCTGGGCCCTTTCCATCTCATCCTGGTCTTTCTGACTTCAACATCTGCCAGCAGGATACGCTCCCTACTTTTTAATGCCAGTAGAGACCACAGACAGATCAATACAGCAATCCTGGACAGGACAGAAAATTTTCTTCTTCAATCCATTAATACTGTTGTTTATTGCAAGAGTTTAATTCTCCAAAGCAGTATGTTTCCAAAAATGTGCCAAGTTCTGGTAATTTATCAACATATTCTCTGTAATTTCAGGTGCAATGGTTTAAAAAATAATGACATCCTTTAGACTTGTAACAAATATATTTTTCAATGTGTTTGTGAACCCTGACTTGATTCATACACAGCCGTGTAACATCAGACTTCACACACATTAAGGGAGGTGAAAATGAAAACTCACTATAAATAGGCAGTGAAATGAAAAAGTAGTTTGGAGAACTCCCTCTATCTGTCCAAAAAGTAAGTACTAAATACTTTTATGGCAATTTACCACAGCAAAGGTCACTCAACATAGATCAACCTCCTCAAACTTTGGATTTTCTGTTGCTCTGTTACTTTACTAATCTCCCTTTTAACACAATTTCAATGCTGTAATATAGGTAAAACAGCGGAAATGCTTTCTGATGCAAGGATTACCCTTCTAAGAGGTGCAACACTGCAAACCCCACAGTATGTTTGGGAAGACATGTAACGCTCCTCTGCTATGACATATATTTTTAATATTTATACATTCCTCAGAAAAATATAGAAAGTTATGTCATCTACTATGAGTATGCCCATACATGACTTCAGATGTAGAATATTTTAAAGCAAAATAACTTGTATAGTTGTAACTTTTCAGAGGGGTTGAACCTCTGAAAGTCTCATTTTGTCACTCTGCAGATGCAATGTCAATATAAATACCATTTAGCTGAGTGTGTTCCATAATTGCCCATACTTAAAAATACAAGAAACTATTAGAGATAAACTACAGAAAGAACTGAGGAAGTTTAGCTGCACACACTTACTGATCTCTTAGGCTAACTATTTCCTGCTCATTTTTCGGGTAATAGTTTGTCTTAGAAATGACTAGGTAGGGGTTTTTTTAAGGATGGGGATTAATTAAAGAATATGCTTTTTGGGTTTTCTAATTTCTCTCTGGGACTTGACTGACAGATGTCTAAGGTAAAATGACTTTGAGGCAGACTTTTCTAAGTGACAGAGCAGTGTCCGTCTGGGGTGATGGTCTTTGCTGTACAATGGTTAGGTCTGTACTGAGAAGCAGATGCAATTTACATTTGAATTTCTATTCAGTTGTGCACTCCACAGTCCATCCAGGGATAGCCTCGGATGAAGGACCTACTGGAGCACACTGTTGTGTCCTCATGCATACACATACTTCCTTTTCTGACACAAACCCTGGTCTTGTTCTGGTATTTAGTCAGCATGCACACACAGGAGCCTCGACAACAGAACACACCGTGTGTTTGAGAGGCCAGTTTACCCATGAGACAAATTAGTTGACAGCTACAAACAAACCAATCAACCTTTCTCCTTCTTCAACTTTGGAATTCTCAAGACCAATATATATTTGGTGTTCCTCTCCAGAGCTCAGAAATCCCACTGGGAATATCGTGCTTGCTTTAGATACAGACTGAGCTAAGATTTCATTTTAAATTACTACTAAATAACTGACTGCAGATTGCAGTGCAATTATAAGGAAACTGATCTATCCGAAACTCTTCGATGGCAGCATATTGGTTGCCTTTTGATCCGTGCTTCATAGAAGCTGTACAATTCGCGTGTGGCAAGATATTATTGATTGGGAGAGACAAACAGCAAGTGCTTCTGCTCTCAGACTGGTGAAACAAGTGAGAAGCCCTGCTTTTACTTGAATGGACCTATCAGGCTTTCTGTAGTGGAAAAAAGTTGAAAAGCGCAAAATCCATTATGCATCCATAAAAGGAAAAAGGGAAGCAATAGCTTCAGGGAAACTAAAGCCTCCAAAGGATGATATAGGGCAAGAAGAAAAGACTGCACTCATTGGTATGGATGTATGAAGTTGTATTTTTCAGGAAAGCAGATCTATTTGACACTACTTTTTTCACTTGACACCATGCTTCTTACCCAAGCAAAAAGAAGCAAGCCAGCAAGTCCTGCCTCACCAACAAGGCAACAGAACTCATTACCACTGCCGTTAATTCATAGATTTTGGAGCTGCCTCTTCTTGAGAGGCATGTAGACTGCAAACATGGAGATCACAAAGTCCTACCCTCTTAGCTGCATCCTCATGCTCCAGGCATTCGGAGTGCTGTTTTGTCCAATTCTGTTTTCAATTAAGGCCATTTCAGAGCCTTCCCTTGGCAATTGCCTGGTTAATCTCTTTGATAGACACAGAATTACAACCCTGCCTGAATCCCAGAATTTTATTTTATAATCATAACTATGAGGGGATGAATGGAAGGAAGATGCTCCCAGTTAAGTAAATAAATGGAAGAGGCCAATTATAGAACTTCAATTCTCACTAGGAACTTCCCCTTTCTACTTTTTTTTTCTTCTCAGAGTTTTAAGAAAAAATCTTGGACATCAGAGCCACTTTTTGGTTTTCCTTTGTTGAGTTTAAAAAAATGCCTTAGTCAGGAAAAGCATTTTTGATGACTCCTAATCACTATTCCTGTTTGCTAGGCACGGTGTGTGGCCCAGGCTGGAACCACAAACTAAGCTTCTGGAAAGGCAGCAACCAAAGAATGCCTCATCTGGGATTCCACAGCTGCCAGCAATTGTCCTTGCCCCTAAATGCTGGATCAGTCTCCCTACCATCTATTTATGACATAAATTATCTATAGTTTCCTCAATCAGTGTTCAACTTAACACACACTCAGCAACCTCACTGCAAACATACACTTCCAGAAACAATTTATTATTCACATTCCTACCTTATCTCATACTTCACTCAAAGGAATCTTTCCATAAGTCGCACAAGTCACAAGTTTATAATTTTACTTATCTGCATGTGCTGATGTTATACGCCTTATGAAGATCACACTATTATGCTTGAACCACAAAAAAATCTGAAATGAGCTCAAAGAATCTAAATGAAGTATTTCAAGTAATGTTTAAATAAGTACTTCTAGCCTTATAAACAACACTTAAAAATTAAACACAAAGGATTACAGCTCTTTCACAGGCATACAAAATTGAATTTATGGCCTCCAAATGGTATATAACAATGTGACTCCCAGTATCTTCTTTAGAACTATTTTTCTAAAAAGAAATTGGAATTTGAGAATTTTATTAGCTAAAATTGGTGCATAGATTTGGCTGGAAAAGTTCCCCATGTACTACATGGTTATATGATAACATCGAACAACGCCTGATAGTGTTTCTCTTTGAAATTCTCTTCCTACAAAGAAGTCATGCTTACCTGAGGCAAACATATGAAGGTAAGAAAGCTACTTTGCAAGAGACATTGGAAGACACAAAGATATTTCTGGTGTGAAAAATGTTTTCTGACATCCAAATAATGTTTTATCAAGAAAAGAATGCAAAATGGGACTTCAGAATATATTTGTGCATTCCACAATTCTGGTAATTCTCAACCAGACAGTGAAATTCTATTAGAAAGAATCTCAAAGCCCTTACTCCCCTGCCCCCAAACTACCAGCACTTCAAGCTGACTAATTTCTAGAGAGTGTTTTGCCTATTAGTTCTACCCATTAGAGAATCTTGATGGTGTGTTCCAGATGCAATCCTCAGCCAGCAGACCTGTGTTCTATATTTGTACCTCACTTGCATGTGTGTATTAAAACTTAAGAGCTGCAATTCCCATCATCACTAAGTCCCCATTTTTGCATATGCCTGGAAAATCTGTGACCATTACTAGGCAAGTTTGTTACATGAGGAACTAACAAAACACCTCCTTTTGGAAAGGTCACAGACATAAACAAACAAACAAAAAGACACAAAACCTGCTGGACTCAAGAAATATTTCCTCACCTCATACAATGGTTTTTATCTAGATGATTTTCAAAGGATGAAAACAGTAAACTATACAAGAGAATAGTGGAATTAACAATCAGCACGACAACAAATGGCAAGAGATATGGTGCACTGGAAAAATATTCTGCTTGATAATAAACAAAACTCCCGAAGTTTCACTTCACTTCTTGCATTATTTCTTTGCATCGTTAAAGTCCTTTGTAATGTGGGCCATCTAGGGAATGAACTGCAAAGAGAAGCCATCTAATTAGATAAGATAACTGCTTTGTATAGCCTGTTCACCTTGGCTATGACAATTGAACCCTCTGGCACCAGTATAGAAGTCTGGAAAGGGGCCAGTGGGGAAGGTATTTAGGTAATAGGAAAGCTTTAGTGCTAAAGGTGGACTCTCCATCCAAATAAACTAGCCTTGAAGAGATCCCTACCGGAGATCCAGACCAGCTTCTTTCCAAAGTATGTCCATCAAACGCAAAATCTGAAGCGTCAACATGTCCTGTCGGAGATCTGTAACGGAAGGTTGAAACTGCTATTTCAATTTCTCAGTGTGTTGTAGACAAACTTTCTAACCTTTATAAGGCCTTCAGAAAAAAGTATCCAAAAATACTCATCAAGCCTAAAGGTTAAAGTGGGATTAACTGTAATTATATCATTATGACTGATAATGGCTATACTTTGAAACCCAGTCAGAAGAAGATGCTTCATTTGTTTACCGATGTTAGAGTAAACCATGTTTACATTATGGCAATACAGAGCAACATAGCTTAAGCGCAAGTGTGGGAAAGAAGAAGGAAAAGGAGAAATTTAAGTTTTAGCATTGCTTACCATCACCATTTTTAAAGATGATCCCTACAAGATCTCCTCCAAACATTTTATTGTTGTATACTATCCATAGAGGCTTCATTTTAGAATCCATATATCTACACTTCTCAACACTAGAAGAAAATACAACAAAAAAGTTTTAGTCAAATAAGAATAATTCAACTGAAAAAGTCTAAATGTTGTTCAAAACACGACAGAACATGTAGACCTTCCAGTTTGGAAGTACTTAAATGTTATCTCTGCTTCATTCTGCTACTACACCATGAGCACTTACCAAGTTATGAACATAGCTGTTGGAGATGGAATGTACTGGATACCGTGACTGGCATACACATATCTGATGCTTACATTAAGCACCCATATTTTCAGAGAAAATAGTTGTCTTGATACCCTTTCCCACCAATTTTTAGACTTTGTATTTAAGTGCTGTTAAAAAGTTTTAATGGCTTTTGTGCTTATTGTTATAAGCAGAATCCAGGAATGTAGTCTAATTCACTCTTAGGATTACATATTTAGCTACGGTAATACATTGACTAAGAGAATATCAAGTTTCATGGTGGATCACAAAAATCTAACTTAACTGACACCTTAACCACAGGAAGATCCCCAACAGAAAAAGTTCCCTATGACAGCATATCGGCTGAATGATACAGCCAAAGGAAGTTAAAGCATATATGTGTTTCTGCTTTACTGTTTCCGTGCAAAAGCTACACTGAAATTTTACTCACTAATTCTTAACTTACTGTAGTTCTGAAAGTATAACAGAAGGATTCAGAGGAGACTGGAGGTCAGAAAGTGCTTCCCTGTAAGCATTTTGTTTCAAACATGTATGCATTGCATCTTTTCCTTTTGCTTTGCTTTGCTTCATGGCATTCAGCTTAATTAGACTATTTAAAGTCTTCATTTTATTAAGGGCTTCCACCTGAAAGAGATTTTATCTTTAAAAGTTATTGCTCTGATTTTACACATAATACAATGCAAAATCCCATTTCAAAACAAAACAGTGAACTAGAGTATTAAATAACTCTACAGCTTTTTAAATATGGAAATAATAGATGACAACTAAGGTGGCATCCCTGAAAAAATATGAGAACAGCCTTTTCTAAGTCACTCATGTTACTTAAGAAAATGGGATTTCTGGGACAAAGACACTGATGGGATAAAACCTCCTAAGCTCCGAGTCACTTTAATAAGTCATGCTTTAAAATAAAAAAAAAAAAAAAAAATGAACAAGGTATTTTAATGTATGATACATTTACACAAATTCTTCAAAATACAATTTTTGTCCACAAATTCAACATAGATGCCTGTATCCATACTGAAGTCAACAGAAATATTGAGTGCGTCATACCTCTAACAAAACCAAAACATTACTGGAGATGACCTATGGATGTAGATACTTCACTGTACATATTCAGTTAGCTGCACACAATAGGGTATGGCCATATGACTACTTGCGGACAGTTTTCACAGACTTAACTACACATACTCAACTTCTACAGAGTAAAGTCTTAAAAGTTTGTTCATTATAGTTAGGCATAAGGTAAATGCTCCAAATCATATCATCTTATCTAAGCAGTATTGTTACCTTGGAAATGTGTTAAAAGGCAAGGCAATTATTTGCAATTAGTACAGGTGGGTTTAACCCTTCCCCCCCCCCGCCTTCTTCTGTTTTGGAAAGTCTTCTACTGGTACTTAATTCCTAAGAAAACATGTAACCTAGTGATGTAAATGTATGTAACACTAACAGAGCAAAGTCCTTCTGTAGCAAACCTAGATAGCACATACAACAAATATAATTTCTATATTGCATCTACATCTAAGTAACTTGTTAGCCAAATATAAAATAGCTGTTATAACAACCAGCTGTATTTGCACTCGCCACAGTTAACAAGCACAGTAAAACACGCATTCTCTAGCAAACTGGATCAATTTAAGAATTACTAAAGTTCATTTCTATACAAGGAAGCTTCAGTCTAACTTACAAGGTGCTGAGTCAAAACTTACCACTTCTACAGAAAGACTGAACCCTCTCAGGCAGGATGCTGTGGAAATTGTATGCAGTTTGATTCTAAAACTGAGGCAATGGAGACCTGCTAGGTCAGCCATCTGTCAAAACCAAATGCGCTCGGCCTTTCCACTATTATAGGAGCTGTACAAACATCAGCGACAAGGGAACAAAATGGAACCTGCATTGTACAAACAGGAACTTTTTGAAGTATTTCTACTTTGAATTTCTTCCGTGTTTGCACAGTTGGGAATTTTTTTGCCCCTTCTTTGATTGTACTGACATTTGTTTCCTGTGAAGTGCACAAAAACTTTACTGACCTTAGCTCTATCGCTTAAAGCATTTCATCACCTAATCTTTTCATGATTTTGACAATACTAACAAGCACACATGTGTAAGAGATGGTCTCGTCAATGTCTGGTGAACTGCAGTAATAAAGAGCACAACAGCACATTCCTGTTCCATATGCCTCTCAAAGCACAGTTTCAATGTAGACAGTATCAAAACTGTTAGTAATAACACTCAGTCAGACAAGTATCTACTGAGTTAGTTTTTGTGGCCTGATATAGCAAATACATTAATTCCAGAGAAAAATCATTTTTCAAGGATTTTTATGGTCCCTATCTAAATTAACTTGCTAAAACTGTGTTAGAGCCTTCAAACATGATTTTTTGAGTGTCTCTATTAATGACCTGCTGATACACTTATTAGGGTTTTTTCTTCTTTCCCCATCTTTTTTTTGTAAATGGCACATCTATATTAACACTAAAATGAGTATTTGGTTTACTTCAACATCTTTATTTCCAGGGAGTACTACATTATACTACAACTTCAGGGGTTTTTGCATCACCTTTTAACAAAAGCCAAAGCTGCAATAAGTAGTCTAGGAGTCATCTAGATAAAGTTTAGACAGAAAGGTAATAGTTTCTATTGAACAAATTACCCTTACTGGGGAAAAAAGGTCACAAGTTTCAAGTGCACCGAAACCCTTCTTCAATTAATAATCCAGACAGTTACTATTCTATCCAGAACACATGCATACTGCTGAAAGCATCTTGCACATCTCCGAACACTATAAAACCAGCTCCCAACCTCTGAGGCCCCACAGCGCTGGTGGCTTTGTGCCAAGAGGGCGGCTCCATCATCCATCTATTTAGTCCTTTCATTTCTCTGTCTCACCCATGCTTCCTTCTCTCCCTGCTCCCCAACAGATGGACTTTGTCAAGGTAACCAATATACCCCATAGGAGCAACAGAATCAGTATTTGCATTACAAGCTGGGATAAGTCAAGATTTAAAGGAGAAGTCTATACCTGTTTAGCAAGCACTTTCATATGAGCAACACTTCCTCGGCAGTAGGCTTCAAGTATCAAACCAAACTGTACTGAAACAGCAGGTATGTGAACCTCTGACCTGTAAGAGGAAAAGCTTCTCATCAGACCATAGCATTTGCAGATTAGCATTCTTCAAGCCATTAAAATAAAAAATAATAAAAAAACCCCACCAAAAAAAAACCCCCAACAAATCCACCCCCCAAAAACTTTATGGTTGTGTAGATAAAACAAAAAGCCAGATTTCTTAAGAAATAAGAAAACACTTATGTGCTGAACACTATAAAGCCTGGCTGGTTTCAATGCATGCCACTTGTTTCAAGGTCTAGGACTGTTCTGGAGGCAGTAATGTTAAGCGGTAGTGATTGGATACTTGTTTTCAGGAACCCCTTTTATTCAAGAAAGTAGTTACTAGCAAGCCATAGCAGATGATACTGAGAATCAGGGCTGATGTTAAACCATGTGTTCGCAAGTCTTTTAAGGGAAAAGCCAAAATTTGCCTGAGGGGGAACAAACCACAGAACCTTATACCAGAGCCAATTATTGTCCAGAACATTTTCATGTAGTACTTGCTCTTTTTATTTAGAAATACTAAAAATCAATTGTACTTTGAAGAACAGAATCAACCCGTAGTCCATTCTGCAAGGTATCTGCCATTCACAGAACTGGTCATCAAAAGTGCAACGACACATAAAACTGCTTTTATTTGCTGTTAAGAGTCTCAAAAGTAACATAAATTTTTCCCAACCGTGTGGTATAAATATTGTACCTTTACTGCATGCACAGCCAAAACAAACACTAAGGTTATGTACAAACCTAACTTATCAGACAGAGCTGAATGCAGTTTGGAATACTTCTGTAAAGAGTAGATTGCAAACCACTGCAATATATTTTTACTTACAGGCTCGCACTGATCTATAAATACCAAAGGTAAAGAAACACAAAGAGGACTTGTAGGGGACTACGATAACAGCTCGTTTAGAAAAATCCTCAATAAATCATATTTGAAAGTTCAATCAGGCTCAATAGTTTCAGAGAGATGTAGGGGAAAAACTCGTACCTTAGATGCCAAAACAGCATCTGTCCTATTCTCCTATTACCGAGTGCTCTCTCTAGTAGAAATCTGGAGAGCGCGCAATCAAGAAAAGGTTCATATTTCAGGACTTGTACAAGTTGAAGAAGATACTGAGAGAGCTCTTCATCACTAGAATGGGGTACATAAAAGCAGTTAGTAACAGAGTAACCGCATTAGCGAAATTCAGATGCATATGACAAATCCAACCATGACAGATTTGTTTCAATAGCAAGAGTGTCCCCCAATTTTTCAGTCACATGGAGAAGGACGATAATACACAACTCAGTGCAATGCCAGATTGATTGTCAGTAAGCTATACCTCGAACAGAATCTCAAGGCCCTCAAACCTGTAAGTAAAAACCTGGTATTCTGTCATGGGCTTTACAAAATTAAGATCTCAGCCTGAGTGTTAGGTTAAGTTACTGGAAAATGAATTATTTCAAATTACTTCAGACTGGCCATCGGCTCCTTTTGACCACTCAACCTCTGACTGAGGAGCTGGACCTTTAGAACCACATAAGGGACCACTGTGACCTAGCAGTTAGCTGCAGCAGGCACGGACAAGGACTGAGAATACCTGCATATACCAAAGTCACTCACAGCTTACAAAGAAAGGAGAGAAGAGTATTCTTTCCACTGAAAGCAATTCAATTAACCTGTCTTTAAAAAAGTCACTACCTGTCAGTGAATAGGTGTTCATTAAGATACACCAACAAAGTGATCCGTTTAGCCAAAATGTTTTGTTTGGGTTTTTAGTTTGTGCGTTGTTATGGGTTTGTTTTTTTTTTTAAATCATACCAACAACGTGAAGGTTTTTAAAGGATAAGTACATCATCTTTGAGAAATCAGTGTCCAAATTATTCCTACATCAGAAGTGCAAATTTAGGTATTTAGCCACAGTCCATAAACATGCCTTTGAAAAGCCTCTATACTAATTAACTACTTCAAGTAATATTCTTATATAATAAAAATAATTCCGATAAATTCCTATAAAATTCTGTATTTCCCTCCCCTCCCCAAAACCCCTCTCACACTTGGAAATTGTTTCTCTAGAACAAATGTAAACATTCCTTGACTTTTTACTTTCGAGTAGCTTTTCTCTTATAAAAGGCCTGCAGAATCCAAATTCTCTGCCTAAGATGGAAGGAAAAGAATAGAAATTCTTCTGTTCGTCACTTGAAGACTTCAGAGATGAAAATACTGAATTCTTTTGTACTCTCCATCTCTACTCTGAAGAACTTCAGTAACTTGGTAAAAACTTTCAATTACGCCGTGTTGTACTTATTTTCACCCTTTTTTTTTTTTATTATTTCAGCTAATAAGATCACCTTTAGGTGATGAAGGCAGCTGGTTTTTACCAGCTGCCTTCATCAGGCTTTTTAAAGCAGTTGAAAATTGGTTTCTGACACCCAACTGAACACAACTTTGCTTCAGAGCCAGAACTAAGAATTCTGGAAATTATTTCAGATGTAATAATTCAATATTATTAGGATAGCCCAGCAGCTAAATTGCTTGTTTGCATTTGAAAGAAGTCAAAATATTTTTTTTTTTTTACCCCAAAAGTCTAGCCTTGACCATTAAAAAAAATTAATCATTAAACTAGTCACCACAGAGAATTTAGAATTCAAGGACAGGAAACATGCAGTAATGTTGCAAACGATAACGTTATACAAATCTTGCCCTAGGTTACAGTGAAGAGCAAAAATTATATGCGATAATGGAAGAACTGCAGATAGCAAAGGCTACTGTGAAGAACAAACAAATCGGTAATTCTCTGGGTTTTTTTATTGTATGCTACAGTTTAAATTTCTGTGAAATGATACAGCCAATGCCTGACACAGTGTGAGGTGGCTGGATGGCAGTTTTTCTAGTATTCAACTATTCTAATATTTTGTCCCTTTGTTACTAAAAAGTTCTCACACGATCTTGCTCTCCCTCTGTCCAAGAAAGGGGTGAACTCACTACCCTCTCCGGGACAAAGGTACACTGCTGCTCTCTTAGCAGCATGGACAATAATAATCACTGAATCCAAGATGTCAGAATAAGAAGGTTGTATTTGGCTGCCAATGTGCTTATCTAGAAATCAGACTGCTCTATTCGGCCATCTATTCATAGCAGGCAGTGTGTTTAAATCCTTCCTCTTTGGGTTCTTTTTTTCCTATAGACAAACTGAATGCAGTTTTTCACCCCAGAAATCCTTGCATGCTGAAGAAATACAATATACTCACCTCATTTGCTTCAAACAACCCACTGCATATTCTCTCACGTACTGGTCTGGATAATTGAAATCCAACAATTCTAATGCATCTCTAGGCAGCAGCTTGGGCCATATCTGAAGGAGAGCCTGAAGCTGTTTTAAAAGATGACTATTAGGTTACAGGTAAATCAGCTATTTAAGAAAAGAGTTGGGTATAACTGCCCAGAAAAGCATTCATACCAACAGAAGGAGAATCTTTTTTTGCATCAGGTCTCATTTACACAGTCTGAAAAGTCTGTTTCCTCACACATAGACAGGACACACAGTAAACAAAAATTAGGTAAGCCCAGATGCGTATGCTTTAGAAACAGAGTTTCAATAAAATTTAGATAATGTTTTGTAAATGCTGTCATAAATATATAAATATTTTTATAATGGTAAAAGTTTTCCATTAAAAAAGAAGTTTAAAGAAAGTTTTTATTGAGAGAGATCTCTACCAAAAATTATGTATCCACCTCAACTGCTGTGGACTTTTCCCACAGGCACTGTGAATAGTAATGAGCTTAAATTGCAGAAAGGATGATTCAGGTTAGATATTTAAAAAAAAAAATCCCAACACTGAAGACAATGACATGCTAGAAAAAATTACAGAAAACACCTGAGTGTTATTTTGGACTACTAAGAAGAAAAACATCTAGAGGTCTCAGAATATAAACTGCGTTTACTGCATTTTAATGAAGCTACCTGCTGAGGGTCTATTTTTAATAACATGGATATAGTTGTATGACAAACCGTACACTATTACTCAAAATAAACAAGCTTGAATGTATGCAGTGTATCAATAGCACACAATTTTTCCTCTCTGTAGGAACAGGTCATAATTCATGATAAAAATACCCTTTCTTACAAATTAGATAATACAGATATTTCAGATAAGTCTGAATGACTAGGAAGATCTTATTTTCCTCCTGATTTAGTAATCCTTTTACACCAACAGTGAAAAATCTCTATTTTCTACTACATGTCATGGTTGAACTAATGCTTCCAGTTCAAGTGTAACAAACATGTGTAAGTTCATAGTCTCAACCTGCATTAGTAGGCATGTTCATAACACTATTTAAACTCTTAGCGGGGGGTGGATTCTGAACTGGTTCATCTGTGCAGTTCTGTGACATTCAGAAGGCAAGAACTGGGCACGGATCAATCACAAAGCAAAGCCAGTGGCCATGCCACAATTCCAGAAGCAGAGGAAAGAATCGGTTCAACTGTTTCCATAGGCAAATACTGATCTGAACACATGCAAGATTCATAATGATATAAAGTAAAATTAAAGATATTTTAAAATATAGATGTCATTCCCACAGAAACATACACACAAAATGTATGCAATCCATAGCCCAGTAAGGGTCAATGACACCATCAATACTTACATAGGAATTCTGAAATCTGAAATTCTGAAAGAAATACTAACACCGAACAGATACTTAATACCATAAAACAGATGTTGCAAATGCAAGCAGCAGCTATGCTTGTCAGACACGCAATAAGAAACTTCAAACTCATCAGAACTTAGAGACAACCTACTTCAAATCAGGTGCAGAACCAACAAAAATACAGAAACATTTTGTTAATAATGAATGATCAAAATGACTGGAGAACCTGAAATACAGTCTGAAAAGATGAGTCAAAGTGGCATTATATGCCTCATATAGCAGGCAATGAATTTTGAAAGCCACGGTCTACAGCATGTAAATGAACTGTGAAGTTTATTTGAAGATACAGACCTCCTCCCTTTGACTGGTGAAATTATTCCAGATTATTACAATGAGAACATGTAAAGCGATATGAGCTTAGTGGAAGCAAGATCTAAATGATCTATGAAACAGCCAAGAAAATTCCCCAAATACCTACTGCTCTGTTTGTATTCTGCCCTGGAACTTTTATTAAGAGAGAAGTGCAGTTCAACTAGCTCCACATCCCAGGTGCATTGCACACTTCTCACAAGTGCAGATAAAAGGATATCAGAAGTACTTGTTGCATTTGGACAAAAGAAACACCATGAAATGACCTCATCTGCTTTAGCAACAGAGAGGCAACTCTGAAGAACTTCCAAATATACCTCATTTGTAAAGAAATTTTACATTTCAAAATAGGCATTTCAAGTTCTTAAAACTTCTCTGCAATATCAAGTGTTAAAATGCTGCAGATATGAAACACTGCATCCTTCTCCTCTCACACAGTTTGCAACTCCTGACAAGCTGTGAGAAAACGAGGATCTTCAATTCTCAGCAACAACCTCAAGGTTTGGAGAAAGCTCAAGTCCGATTGGCCTTGGTATGTCTTTTTTTTTTTTCTGTCTAAAGAAATAACCATGATTTCTTCCCTAACAAGACAAGTTTACTATAAGTTTACTATACTTTAAGCACAGGTCAGTATTTTTATTCCAGTTTTTTCAAATATTTCAAAAATTAAGTCTCTAATCAGTGGTCCTTTCTCTAGTTCTCATTAATGATGGTGTCGCTTCACTGAAAGTGGGCAGATTTTAAAAAAAATAAAAAAATTACTAAGTTCTGTTTTGAGAATAAATACTGCCTGTGACTTCTGCTAATACGTTCTGCCACCCTACTACTCAGCATGCTGAGTGAGGAGGTTATGGCAACAGTGAGGGCAAACACCTTCAGAATTCCTTCAGTGCAACTATTCTACTAAAATATTGCAATGTAATGAGAGCTTGGATAAAATCTATATGGTAAATAATACAAGAAAGCTGCTTTAATCCATTGCACATAACTTTAATCTATTAGTTCAGTGGTCCATAAAGATGATCTACAATCAAACTTAATACTCCATTTCTTAAAAGACCTTACTACTTTTGATCTGCATTAATAGATGCAGGAATATAGTTATGTAGTTAATTATTCTTATAAGCAGCTAGTGTTTGGTTGTTTTTTGGAGGTTTTGGTTTGGGGTTTTTTTTTGTGTGTGTTTGGTTGGTTTTGGATTCTTTTAAGAACTTTTTGCCTCAAGTGTCAGGCTTTCACTGAAATACTTACAGCTAACAATAGGCATTAAAAAAATCCCCTTTAGTCCCACAGCATGCATGTTATTGTAGTAGCACAAATCTTGCAACATACAGCTAGTACTCTAAATATTTAATTTTAATGAGAGGTAAATTATGAGGCTTGCTGATGTTGGAATGCATAAAATTCATGAGGCTGTCTTGCCTAACCTGAAAAGATAAGTCATTGGGAATACTTACATGTCTATGTATTACAGAAATATTTGGCATGTTTAAGGATAAGTTCTCATTTTTCAGATAGACTATTCTTGCTGCCAAAAATGGTATTAAAATATAAACCACACTATTGTCTATACACAAGCAAACATAAATACTACAGTCCTTCCAAAAAGTACACAGTAACAAGCAAGATGACTACGTATTTTCAGCCATCTGTTTAAATAAAATGCTTTATACGTATTTTTTAACATTCCCAAATTTAAAAGACTTTGAGCTGTCAGCTGATACCCATATTCCAAACAACTTTACAAAACTCTGCTACCAAAGGCTATATTTCAAACCCCCTAGCAAGCAGAATGCCTTTTCCTTCACATATTTTAATGTGTAAACAAATACCTACTTATATTTCTACAATTTGTATTTCCAGATAACTTTTAATAATGAACAATACATTCAGAAGCACATAGTGGAATTACTAAGGAGCAAAGGATTATTGCATGTGTGCAAGAACACAAGTGTGCACGGAATGTGTGGGTGCTACATTTTGTTAGTGTTCACGGCACGGACAATGACCTAGGATGAAATTCCATTTATTTTTATAAGTTCACAGCACATATACATCTAGCTGGTAGGAAGGATGTAACAGAAAATAAACTCTGTGCTCGAGGCAAACTAAGACTCTGAGTGACTGGGTAATCACAAAATTTACACAATGAATAGATGGAAGTTAAGGTTTCATGGAGCGGTCTCCTTTTCTTCCAAGAACACCTAGCTTGTAACAAGCAAAGCTCAGAATACTAAATTAGAATAGCAGTTTATACTATCAATCATAATCCTTCACAGTAAATGCTTTTTAGCTCAAAGTTTAAAAAAAAATAGTTTAAAATTTTAAAAAATGAGACTTGTGGAAAGACATTATCTCAGAGTAACAGTCTGCAAGAAGTTGAGTGTCATTTAAATGTGCAATTCCACCAGGATAAGCAGAGGAACAAAAGAGCATCTGGGTTCACCCCTTAGAACAAGTACTGCGCTTGTTAACACTGGCCAGACTGTTGTGGTTTTGCCCAACCTGCTCTGTACATAATCAGACTAGAAAGTTTCGATACAAATCCAGAGATCTTTTAGTTTATTACTTTTAAGTCAGTCTATAGTGAGACCATTCCTGCTTGATAAACTCATATAATTTTTCCTATATCAAGGTTCCACCTATTCCCAAAAAGCATCACAACAGTTGGATTCTATTTGGGTAAATAGAGAAAAAGGCAGCTACACCAACTTCTTCACAGTATAGTGAAATAACCTTGCACATCTATACAGCAAACAAGTGATACCATTTTACTGAAAATGTAATCTTGTATCACAGCACCAGTCTTCAAGTCCCTAATTACTTTAATTACTTTAAAGAGACCCTATTGGGTCAGTCAACACAATGAGAATGAAGTATTTTGTACCACTAGTGGGTATCATATCTCTTTGAAAAATAATCTGTCTGCCTCAGTGAAGTTTAATTACCCAGTTCAAGATGTGGATTTTTATAGTCTTTGAGCAGTTTAACTATTTTAATAAGAAGCTTTATTTCAGATCTTGATTAACAAAAACTTTTTTTTTTTTTAAATAACCTTATAAAAGAAGTTCTTACTGTGAGGGTGGTCAAATGCTGGAAGAGGTTACCCAGATTGTGGAGTCTCCATTGGTGGAGATACTCTAAACTCAGCTAGACAGTCCTGCTCTAGCTGACTGCGCCTGAGCACAGAGGCTGGACTAGATGATGTCAATAGATCCCTTCCAGCCTAAATAAGTCTGTGATTCTGTGAAATTCCTTGCATTTAAGATCAAAGTTGAATGTAAGATTTTAAAATTAGCCTGTATAAATAATTATTGTGCTTTTCTCATCATTCAGATGAACTCTGAAATCCATTTTCAGTTCTGGTTGGATTTTTTTAAGATAATAAGATCTTGCTTACATGTCCAGGCCACATAGGGTATTACAATGAACTTTGGTTTACACTATAGTACCATTTCAAAATGTCTACCCTTGGGAAAGAAACCTTATTTACTCATTATTTGAGTGCTGCATTTTCCCCACATCATTGTCTGTTCCCTTACCTGAGCAACATCTTCAAGTTTGTTCCATTTTAAAGAGAGCAGCAGTTTTGGCAATGATTGTGGAAAATTTTCACGACAGTCATATCGCAAAGTCCAAATAAGATCCATTTCATTTTCACAGAGTTGAGATAAAGGATCTCTTTCCATTATTTCTTTTAGCACAACATAAAACTTCTTACCACCGCGACCCTAGAAAATGAGAAACGTAAAATGTTTTGATATATTAAGATTTTTATATTGTAGCTCAAATACTAGAA